TCTCTCAGAAAGCACAATTTGCAAGAAAGTTTTTTAAAAAAGAAAAGAAAACCTTGCAAGAAAACAAAACTGCCTAAGAAAATTGTGATCCATATTTGAAGCCATCATGAAATATTGGAAGAGAAACTCAGCAGGCTTCAGGAAGGACATTCCAGCAGGTTTCAAGCACACCTTCATGTCTGCATCTGAGCATAAGGTCGGGGGACAGGCAGGGTCAAAGAGGTTTCCCTTCATACTGGCAAACACAGAACGATGCTGACATCACTACATGCAAATCACACAGATTCGCTGAGAAAACTCACTGAAGTTGAAAATGAAACAGCAGCATTACATATTTGTGGAAAAAAATCAAATTTGAGCATTTGGTGTAAAGAATTGATCGGATGTGTAAGAGTTAATGTTTTCCTTTTATTATCAAAATGTAAACCCGGCACATAAAATTAACAAGTAATCGTGTGGAATTAAAACAGATTTGTTGGATATGATATAAACTCTAAGCATAAACATTTACCTGTTTCCCCACTATCTTCGTCATTCAAGTGAAATTGTTAGCAGGAAGATATGCCAGGTTTATCTCTGGGTCTGAACTATCAGGCTCCCCAGCCCTCCCTACCTCTGTATACAACACTGTACCTCTTAGTGTTACGGAGTTTGAGATGACTCTCTTAACAGGATCTTCATTTACTGATATTACTCGGTGACAGCTGGCTCTGATTCTGTGAATACATAATGTTCTTCTTAAAAAATCGCTAGCTGGGCTTCAAGATATTATATTATCCTACCAGAATAAATATTATTTTAAGATCAGAGGAAGGTTCTTGTTCTTTATTAAATTCCTTATTAAACATTTAGTGTTCATAAATTTGTTTAATATAGTTGCTGCCTCAGCATTCATTTTCAGGCCTGACGTAATTTATTTGAAACCCAGGCATGCCATGTCACCATGTAACCTCTGACCTAGTTATAATTTCCCCTCCGCTATGTGACTGATAGATTCTGCTTGTTCCTCATCCCAGTGATGCAAAACCCTGCATACCCACAGCTGCTGACTATGAGCAATCTAATTGTGAACCTCAGAGTCACGTAAATAAGTTCCTCCTTTCACACATATTCTCTTTAAACTAGCCAGTCCACAACCTCGTTGGAAAAGCCTAAGGGATAATGCCAATAGACCTTAATGGGGGCATAGTCCCACAGGTTGGGTCCTGTGCTGGTCCCCTGCTGGTTGAGCTTTTCACCTTCTCTGAACTTCCCATCAGCACCCGTAACCTCTCTGGGACATGTACAAAATATATACTTTTTCTATTTCATGCATTTTGGCTTCACTTTCTCATTGTATCTCACCTGAAACACACACTCAAACCTAACATTTCCCCTATCATGGCTCACCTAGAGAGCTGCTATCTCGACTTGGGGTCACTCTCAAGAGAGAGCCGTCAAGACCAAACTCCAAAATATCATTACAACACTATTCTATCGGAAAGCAAAATTCTGATTGACTTAAGTAGCCTTGGTGGTCTATGGTACCTTTCCCGTACATCTGGATCAAATACATTATGTCCCTCAATCCACTTGAATAGTATGTATCCAAATATTCACCTCAAGTAAGAAAAATGGAGGTGAAATGTGCTTAAAGTTCCCCAGTTCACTTATACAGTGGTATATTAGTCATTCAGCAGTGCCTTATCAAGCATCTAACGTGTCAGTCACAGTGCTACATAATGGAGACATGATAGTGAACAGCTCATTGTGTGATCAGATTTTGTTGACGAAAACTCATAGTTGGCTGCAAGACAAACACATTATAGGGCCAAATGGCAGATATTAGAAGGCAATTGGATGTTTAATTGAGAGAGAATGGAAATGTGTAAAATCAACACGACTTGATGCTTGGGGAGAGGAAGAAGGAGGTATCAAAGATGTCTCCCACATTTCTAAATTCTTATTTGGATGATGTTCTAAGGACAGCTTCTAATAACAATCATGTTGGGGTACTGAAAATAATTTTTTTTCAGGAAATCCCTGGAAAGCCTCTCATTAGGATGGGGAATTGCCACAGGCACTTGGCTTATCTCAAGAGTTTGCATGCTCGTAAATTCATTCAACTCCAAGACTCACTAATTACACCCTCATATTTTAAGCTTATTATGGAAGAAATTCAAACCACATGGGCGTCTGTCTACAAGCCAAAATTTGCTCAAGATAAGCCAATAGTAATAACTTAACTTCAGGCCTTGTGGCTCTTGAACATATTTAAACCTTGATGACTTAAGAGAGAAGGAGGCTAATAAATATCTCAGAGGTCTTTCCAGATGGAAAACAAAGATTTCCCTTTTCCTGATTTCCCCTTAAACTTGTCATTATTTGGCAGAAATGGTCAAAATAAATGCACCATGCTGCAAAGCAGCCAACACATAAGAGACCAGATAGCAGCAAGACGAATCCACTTGTCTAGGCAGACATATGCTCTGAGCACAGATGTTCAAGAAATGAAGGGTGTGCACTTGTGATAATGTATTGCATCATTTCTTTGACCTCAAGATAAAAGCAAACAAAAGAAGCAAAATGTGCCACTCATCAGGCTATAAAAATGAAACCTGCCACACGAGCTCTGATCTATCGCATGAATTCTCCTTACCAGAAAGATGGAGTATTTTCATCAGAATGCCAGCTATTCATTCCTTCTTCTGCCTACACATCTTTTTGAAAGAGGAATGTGGCCAGGGAATAGGAAAGAAAGGGTTTTAATTTAATTTAATTTAGCTAATCCATCAGACCACATTTACAGACCTACACCAACCTCCCTAAAGGCTGGGAAAGAGGGAACACCAACCAGCCTCTATTGCAACAACTTTGGATGTATCCCTTTACTTTCTGCTCATAGCAGCTCTACAGGGGTGCAGTTATCTTTCTTATATTCAGGTGAAGGAATTTACCAAGGTCATGTAACTTACCCAAGGACACATAGCTAGAATTTACTAGGGCCAGGATCGAAATCCAAATCTAACTCTGAAGTTCATATGGTCCTCTAATTCTCATTCATTCTCAGAAGTAGGCAGTCTATAAAATACAAAGCTGTATAGTTATAGTATATGTAAATAATGTAAAATGATACAAGGTAGCTCACATTTAAATACTGGGTCAGGTAATGCTTTGCATAATACTATAGGGTTTCATAGGTGAAAACACAGGAATGTGAAGGGGGAGATGTACATGTTTTGGTATCAGAACACAGTCTGTCACAGCTCTCACTCTTGCCTGCTGTGCTACCCAGAGCAAATCTCATAAGCTCATAGCTGCAGGTTCCTTATCTAAAAGACGTAGTTTTCTCATCTCATACAGTTTTTGCGAGGATTAAATGAGATGATGTGGTTAAATTACCTGACAATATGTCTGGTACACAGTGTCTGTCCCCAAAATGCCAACTTCATGTTACTTCAAGTTAGAGACACTGTGCCATAGACAAATAAAAGAGAGATTCATTAACCAAGTTAACATTCGAATGGCAAGTTTAAAAAGTTCTCATGATGAATGTATTTATAAACCAACCTATAGGTATGTATATGTCATACATATTTGAGTTTTTGTATTTGTTAAAAAATAGTTCATTTTGAAACCTTGTGATAATTACATCTATCAGAGACCTACTTACCTAGTCCTCTGCTAGGGAAAAAAAACGTAATTTCTTATTAATGTCACCAACACAATGGTTGAAGCACGCATGTACATTTGCAGCCGAACTCCCAGGAAGATGAGTGTAAATGCAGCAATTAGTAGCATGTTGCACTAGGCTTCAAAATCTTACCTGCCATTCTTATGAGCACAAGACCAATACTCAGACACAAGTTGTGCAGAGAAAAAGGTCATCTCTGGTTAAATAAAAATTAGTTTCCATTAAAAAGGTGAGAAACTGTAATTATAGAAAATTTACAATACGTAGGAAAAAGTACAAAATGATTCCCCAAAGATATTGCCTCTCTATAATGGTTGCTAGGCAGAGATTGTTTCTATTATTATAATTTTATTAAATGGACCCTGCCATTTTACTCAGCGTTTTCCTTCAACATCACAAGGTAATTTTTAGCAGAATGGTTGAGTCTGTGAAGACAGACTGTGATATCCAGGCTTCTCTACTAACCAGCCCTGTGTCCATGAGCTGATCACTCAGCTTCTTTAAGCCTGAAGCCTTCCATAGGAAGTGAGGATAATAACAGTAACTACCTAATTATAGGGTTGTGTGAGGATAACGTGAGATGATCCATGTAAAACTCTTAGAGTGCTGGGTAGAGAGTAAGAAATCAATAAGATTAGTATTATTTATAACTGGTAAGATGTTTTCAACTGAAAATGACACAAAAAAATTTCAATTGACTTCAGCAAATGGAAGCACATTTACTTTCAAAATGGTAGCCTAGACATAGACCTGACCAGAGGCTCAATCACTGGGGAAACTCTTGCTCTGATACAAGTGACGCACGTGGAGTGACAGGACAGCTGCAGGGATGCCAGTGCTAGCCCATTGCTTCACGGCTCCAAGGCGGCCTAGAGTGAGAACTTACTGCCCTCAGTGCCAGTTCACAAGTCCCAGGATTTTCATGATTGGATCGACCTGGGCCATTTACTTATCCAAAACAATGACTGTTGCTGAAGATATTTGCTGCTTTGATTGGCTGGTTGTGGTAGACTAAGTAATGACACCGCAAAGGTATGAATGTCCTATTCCCCAGAATCTGTTACCTTATGACAAAAGGGATTTTGCAGATATTATTATATTAGGGATTTTGAGATGGAACTATTACCCAATGTTGACTACAAGGGTTCTTATAGCAGAAAAGCAAAAGAGTTAGAGGTCGCAGTACAAAAAGCACTGTGACAGTGGAATCTGAGATTGGAGTGATGTGGCCACAAACCCAGGGCTGCCAGAAGCTTGTGCAGGCTGGAAGTGGCAAGGAACATATTCTCCTTCCAGAGTCTCCAAAAGGAACTAGCCCTGCCTGCTGATGTTTCGATTTTAGTCTCATGAAAACCGCTTTGTACTTCTGACCTCCAGAACTGTAAATCACTAAATTTGTGTTAATTTGCCACAGCTGCAGCAAGAAAGCTAATACACCAGTCTGTGTCACAGTTTTCACCCACACTGCGCTCAGACTACATGATTGAAAATGAAGGAGACATGAATGCCCAGGAGGAAAACAGAAATTCTGTTATTAGAAGAGAATGAATACTGGGGGCAAAAGTCCACAATGTTCAACCTATCAATATTGGTTTTGTTGCGGCTACTTTTTGCTGTTTTTTTTTTAATTTTTATTTTTTTTGTAAATTCTGCATATACACCATTATGGTAGCTGAATGAATTCTTGAGTAGCTTTGCCATAGTGTGTTTACTTATTCTTCTGCACTTACACGTTGGATCCTTGAAAGGAGTTGTCTTTCTTTGTTTACCCTGGACGTGCATGATGTGGGGATAATAACACAGTGCGGAGAGATCAGCATAATAAGAGAGTGGTATGTGATTTTCCTATTGATCACTTCACAAAGAAGATATATGCCAGTAGTAAAGAACTCGATCTTACAAATGCAAAACAGTGAATTATGACATATTAAATGCTAAATTTTCCTCTTTCACTTGTTCATCTTGAGGACCTCACTTTTCCTCCTTTGACTCTTGAATTCATAGTCTATGAAGCAGCTGGAGTTGAACAAATGGAGTGAGCTCAAAGCTGTCTTGTAGCTCCATTACTACATGGAACTAGATTGCAAGGGAAGCACATGGTCTACTTTGGGGCACAGGGAGATTTTGCGGAGGTGTGTTGAAGGGTTCTGGACTCAGGCATAATAAGACAATATTACAAAGAGAGATGATCAAGAGATCGGAAGGACTAAACTGCAGGGCCAGCGGCACTACCACCTAGTCTTCTCTTCTGTGTGATGTAGCAACGGTGGAATTGAATTCTTGGCCAGCATAGTAGAGGAAGTTTTCAGTGAGAAAATGGTCTGGAGAAAACTGTTATTTTTCTGGAGTAGTAGTGACAATGGTATATTAAAATTGCAAACAGAATAGTCTCAGAGCTTTTCTGATCCAAATTCATTCTGATAGTCTCTTATAAAGGGGTTTTGATAATCTGACAAAAACTTCACAGGCGATTTTGATTATCCCCATTTCCCGAGGTCATGTGGCCCAGGGAGCCCCATCTCTGCCCGTTGAAAACCGGCGTCCAGCTTACATTTAACTTCCTTTGTGGTTCTCCATCTTGATTCTGAATACTATTCTCTGAACCAATTTTTCATATGTAGGGACCCGGTGGACAATGGAGAAAGGAAAAGAATTACCCCTGTCACCCCACTTTTCATCTATGGCCTTTTTGGGTGCCAGAGCACAGGCAGAGCTCTGTGATTATCTATAATTAAGATCACTTTTCCATCCCTGAAGCAACCTCAGACTGAGCGGCTTAGGCTACAGAGGCTGTCCTAAGCCTCAGAGGAAGAATTTCAACTTCTCCAGTAAAATACATCCAAGAGAGAAGTCAAATTCTGCAATTCAAACCTGCTGTCTCTCATAGTGAGATTCTGGCCACTACAAAATATGGCAAAATTCAGAAACTCAATTTTCTCTGACATCCCAGCATCAGGTCCTGACAGGACAAGCTGTTTAATTATCTGTCTGGCAAAGCGGGACAAACATTTTTGTTGAGTTAGTAATGGTCAGTGGTGGTAGATGCTTTATCTACAGAAATGTCTATCATCTAGTCCCATTTTGAGCTGTTGACCAGCTATTTTCTAGGCTGCTTTAAAAATAAAACCATCTTTATTTTTTGTGGTATTATTTTTACTATTTATTAACCAAACCAAGCATGCAAATCACTGGAGATTTAGTGATTCAGCAAATGATAATGGAACCCTAAATAACAAGAGTGATGGGGGCACAGTAAATCTCTGCTTTATCTAAGACATTCACTTTTGAAACAAGAAATAATTTAAAAATTAGAAGACTGTGGCATGATTTTTACAAGAAAAGGAATAATTAGAAGAGCTATATTTATTACTCCATGTCAAGAATTATGCTACGTATTTCACATTCATTGTATTATTTAATCTTCACAACAAAACTTAGAACTATGTAGATTTTATGGAATTGGAAAAATGAAGGAAAAAAGCCAGAGTTCATTCAGTAAAATGATTTTTACTACCTATTCTAGTTTATACATGAAAAGTAAAAAGCCTCCCTCTGCCTTTTCTGGTACAACCATGACCTGTCTCTCGGTTTAAAGAATATTTGCATTCCCAAGCAAATATTCTAGGCCTCTTTCGTGCCAGAGTTGAGGAAATGATGGTGTCTAGAATAGAGACTTAGTCATAACCACAAATCACTGTCTACCCAGCCACATGCTTCTCTGGTACATTTGGATTGTGTGATTTTGGACTTATTTTTCCCCACTGACAGAAATCTACATCAAATTGACAAAAGCCAGTGGTATTGTTAAGACCATAATGCCAATGAATAAAGAACTTAGTGAAAGCATCTTGGGGCACTTGACAGCTGAATCACCCAACAGGAAATATGCAGAGCTCTGTTGGCTTTTAAAAAATTGGAACAAGGGGTTTAGAAATGGTGCCAGGATACCTACTCCATCTCTATCTTTCCTTGGTTCTTCGGTCTCTACATCATACTCTATGGTCTGGCTTACTCCATGTAGCAGAAAACTTGTCTTCCCATGCCTGGAGAAAAACTGACTCACACGCATTCTGGTCTCAGGTTTAGAAATTGGCTCACCTTATGTTGGGTGCCCATCATCTAAAGTCAGAGAAATAGCTCTGTAAGATCGGGGTACCTTCAACACAAGCAACACAAATGAAGTAGAAAGAGAAAATGTTCCAGAATAGGGGGACTGCTGATCCAACAACACCTTTGACATACTGTGGGAGGGTGCTATGGAGGTTCACAGCCAAGAGGTGAAGGAGAAGCTTCTGGTAAGTCAAATGCAAACATTCCGGTGCTGCATTTTCAAACTCGAAGTAGGTTATTGTCAAGACCTCCGAGCTTGCATGCATTCATTTATTCATTTCTTAGACATTTCCTAGTGCTGAAATAGAAGGAAAAACAATAATAAGATATGATTTCTATCCTCAGCATTTACTGCCTCCCTGGAGAAATAGACAACTATACTAATGATGTCAGCATTGTGAGCCCAGTGTATTAACGAAGGCTCACGAAGGGTGGTGTTTTTCATGCTGTATGTTGAGACCCACTGGCAGGTCATTAAATCAATTTACTGGGCTGCAGACAGCATGTTTTAAAGGAATAAAATAGGCCAGAATATATCAGGGTGCGTTGTACTGCAGTAAAGATACAAGAGTTTGATAAAACAATTGTGTTCTGATTGCACAGGAGGCTCTGTATACGCGGGTTTGTGTACCAGGTCATGTTGTAAAAGGCGTTTCTGACTTCAGGTCATCATCAAAAATCTTCAAATGTCATCAGTATAGTGTGAGTAGGAGCACAGAGGAGAGACATCTAGATGAGATTAGTAGGAGGTAGGAGAGGAAATGTTTTCAAAGAAGAGAGCTCTCATGCTGAAACTTGGGCAGTCATTCCAAGAGAAAGAACAGCTTGTGAAAAAGGCCCTGAAGAGTGAGAAAGGAGGGAAGATTGATAAAGACCTGTGGCTGGAGAGTAGCAGAAGGAGCCTGCAATGGGTCAGGCATAGGGCTTGAGTCCCTTAGTCTGCCCATGCAGGAGGAAAGACTGATGCTGAAGAATAGGGAAGTGGGGCACATACTTATCATGAAAGGTAGAACGTGATAAGGATAATTAGGATAAAATACTATGCAGCTTTAGAGTAGTCCAAGAATACCTACCGTTCCTTAGAGAACCAGAGATAGCTTTATTGAGGAGGGAACATTTGTGAGTTTTCTGCAAATACTTTGAGTTTGGCTCAGGAATCAACCATGTAGTGTTGGTGTGGCTGCTATGGTGAGTCAGGTAAGGAGGAGAGGCAGACATTCCAATAAAGTTTTAGAACAAAAGAAAAGGGGGAGCTATCAAATTGGTACACAGCTACCCAAACCAATTGTAGTGCTTCTTTAACGGAGTTCTAGGTACAATGTCAAATAAAGTTTAATTCACTATTTGACATTGTCCTACATGCACAGTGGAGGACCACATCCACAATCCGGCTGCCAGAACTTATATCTACCTACTTTCTCTGTGAATTCAGCCTAGTTGCCTAGTCTCTCTGTGCTGGGGCATCCATATGGCCACAAGTGGTATCTGTGGCAGCCAATGAAGTGTGCTGCTCAGATTTTCATTTAAGAACAAACTTGCCTTTTAGTTGCAAGCAGCGCCATTTGCAACCAGGCTTCAGCTGCAGAGTGTTTGGAGTCTACTGCAGAGTTCGAGCTGACACGAAGATTTGTCAGAAGCCCCAAATCAGTGACAGAGCACAGCAAGAGTGTTAGGGATTGGCCATGTTTATCCAAAGTGGGGCTCTGCAAAAATGCCACCTTTTTCCTTGGGTTGCCCAAAATCTTATCAGAGCCGTATCAAAATTGGAGGCTAACTCTACCAATCCTGCCTCCTGCAGACTCTTCTGTTTCAAGCTATCAGATCTGCTTTGTGGTCTGAAGCCTTTCCTCACGCAACTCCACTTCCTTCCCTTTTGTCTGTCACAGGCAAAATGTCCCAAGAAGCCTCTTGCCCTCCTAACAGTGTCTGAGCATCTGCTTCCCTGAATGAACACAATACCTAAATGTTGGGCAGCCCCAGGTCTCAGTCCTTGAACTGCTACTCTTTCAACTCTCGTTTCCTGGATTAGTCAGCTCAGTTTCTAGGGTTTTTAATACCATTCTTACATTGAGCATTGCCAAATTTGTGTCTCCAGCCTAAGCAGTCGGCTGAACTCCAGACACATATATCCAACCCGTATTTACCACCTCCACTGGATATTTAATAGGAAACTCAGACCTAATGAGTCCAAGTCCAATCTCTTGTTCTTTTCTCCCAAATATGTCCTTCCTTCAATCTTAAGCATTTTAGTAAATAGCAACTCCATATTCCTGGTTGCTCAGGGCAAAAATTCTGGTGTCATCCTTGATTTCTCTTGTTCTCTCATAACCCACATCCAATCCATCAGCAAATCCTGTGAGCTCCACATAAAAATACATACTGAACCTGAGCAGTTCTCATTATCTCCACCAATAAAACACTGTTTCAAGCCACCATGCCCTCTTACCTGGGTTATTGTAATAGCCTCCTATTGAAACTTCTTAGTTCTTCCCTTTTCCCACTCAAGCTATCCTCTTTACAGAAGCCAGAATATCCTTTTAAAATGTAAACCAGATCATTTTCTGCACAAAATCTTCCAACAACATCTGTCACTCAAAATAAAGCTTTAATCCTCAAAATAGCCAACAAGGTCTTATATGATCTGGCCCCTTCTTCACAATTGCTTTTTGTTCACTCACTGATTTTAACCACACTGGTTTCATTGCTATTCCCTAACTACTCCAATATGCTCCTATGTCAGAATTTTGCACATGCTGCTGTCTTTGCCTACAATATTCTTCCCTAAGGTATCTGAATGGTTCTCCATCCTACCTCCTTCAGAATTCTGCTCACATGCACCCTATAAGTGAAGCCTTCTGCTGTGGTCTGAATATCTGCATCCCCCCAAAATGCCTATGCTGAAATCTAATCCCCAAAGTGATGGTATTAGGAGGTGGGAATTTTAAGAGGTGATTAGTAGGTCATGAGGGTGGAGCCCTCATGAATGAGATTAGTGCCCTTATAAAAGAGGCTCCAGAGAGCTGCTTTGTTCCTTCCACCATGTGAGGACAGTGACTATGCCACCATGTGGCAGTGAGAAGGCACTAGCTATGATCAGAAAGCGAGTCCCTCACCAGACTTCGAGTCTGCTGGCACCTTCATCTTGGAATCTCCAGCCTCCAGAACAGTGAGAAATAAATGTCTGTTGTGTGTAAGCCACATGGTTTATGGGTTATAATAGCCCAAACAGACTAAGACACTTTCCCTGAACTCTGTGCAATATTGCACTTCCTAGAACTCTTTTCCTCTTCTCTACTGACACTTGCTTATAACATTCTTAACATCTAATAAAAGTGGCATGTTCAGTTTTTCTCATTTCTCTCCTCTCCTCTACTAGAATGTAATTTCCAGTATAATTTATACTTATTTTATTCCTTATTGTATCCCTGATGCTGAGTTCAATATCTTACACATGGTGTGAAGCCAGTAAATGTCAGGTCTATAAATTACTAAATTAGGATAATAAGAGTGCCAATCTGGTATAGGGGTCATGACTCTCAGACAGTTGATGCAAATTACTTAACACAGTGCCTGGCACATAGTAAGTACTCAACAACTATGAGCTTGTGTTAACCTTAGTAATTATTCCTCGTCATGAATATATGTAAAGTAGACATTTAAATGGTAATGTCCATTCTCTGGACAAAACTTGACAGCAGTGATTTGGGGTAGGGGCTCCAGAGTCCAGGCATCTCTCTATGAAATAATTTGTTCAAATTCTTTTACAGAAAACTTTAGGAGGAAGCAACCCATGCAGATGAAAGTAACTAAACTTAATCTACAAAATTAGAACTCTAAGTAGTTTACCATTTTTTGGCGGGGGGGACAGAGTCTCGTTTTGTCGCCCAGGCTGGAGTGCAGTGGTGCAATCTCGGCTCACTGCAAGCTCTGCCTCCCGGGTTCACGCCATTCTCCTGCCTCAGCCTCCTGAGTAGCTGGGACTACAGGCGCGCGCCACCACACCCGGATAATTTTTTTCTTTTTTTTTTTTTAGTACAGATGGGGTTTCACCGTGGTCTCCATCTCCTGACCTTGTGATCTGCCCCTCTTGGCCTCCCAAAGTGCTGGGATTAAAGGTGTGAGTCACCACGCTTGGCCAGTTTACCATATTTTTAACAAATGCATTGTACTATACTACTGTACACTAGATTTCTAGTGTAAATGCCAATCTCTTCCTCAATAGAGTGAGAAACTTTCGCCAGAGGTAATTGAAAGACAAGACTCTGGTTTGGTTTGCCTGGATTTCTCCTCTTTCATTGCCTAAGACTGACAACTGTGACTACTTTTTTTTTTAACAGATGTTTTCAGAGTGTCTATTATGTCAATACAACGTCCTAGGCAAGGGAAATTTAACAGCTAACAATATGATAGGCTTGGTTCCTACCTTCATAAAGCTTATAGTTTATCAGAGAAGAGGGGCAATTAAAAAGGGAATTAGAGTCAACAAGCGCTATAATAGTGAAAGTTCAGGATGCACGTGAGAGAAACTAACTTAGCTGGAAGCTGGGAAGAAAGACGGGAGAAGATTTGTCTTTGTTTCCCAGCAGAAGTGACATTGGAGAAGAGTGTGAAGTTACCCTGGTAAAATTTTTTACTAGAAGTTATTTTAATATTAGTAATACATGCTGCACACTGGTTCGATAAGGAGCTTGAGTTATTCACGGAGTTTTTCCTTTCATCTTCACAGGTGTACTTTGGAGCAAACTTGCATGCAATTATTGATTACCACTTTGAATTGTAATTAATTAGAGCTATTAAAAACATATATACATAAATATACATATGCATATATATATATACACACACACACACACGTGTGTTTGAGCGTATTTGTAAGCCCTTATAATTTATCCATATAAAATTGTTTACTTTTATTTTAGGTTCGGGTGTACAAGTAAAGGTTTGTTATACAGGTAAACTCATGTCATGGGGGTTTGTTGTACAGATTATTTAATCATCCGGGTATTAAGCCTAGTACCCAATAGTTATTTTTTCTGCTCCTCTCCTTTCTCCCACCATCTCCACTCAAGTAGACCCTAGTGTCTGTTGTTCCATTCTTTGTATTCATGAGTTCCTACCATTTAGCTTTGAATTATAAGTGAGAACATGTAGTATTTGGTTTTCTGTTCCTGCATGCATTTGCTGAGGATAATAGCCTCCAGCTCCATTCATGTTTCCACAAAAGATATAATCGCATTCTTTTTTAATGGCTGCATAGTATTCCATAGTGTATGTGTACCAAATTGTATTTATTCAATT